AGGATGGAAGGCTGAGTCAACCTTGAGCCGGTGAGATTTGAACCAGTGAACTGCCGAACTAGCAGTCAGCTGAAGTGCCCTGCAGTACTGCACTCTACCCACTGCGTCCACCTCGGCCCTCTTTTCAAGGGCATCTACATTTAAACAATTCACAGAACTCTTAAATTATGGAGCAAATATATTTTAAAATTGGATTCCACATTCCTTCTCTCAAGATTTGGCTCATGCTGACACCAACTTTCAACTTTTTGATGTGATCATATTATTAGTTTTAGTTATTCCACTCCGTTCTAATCTCCTCTAGGAATATACTGATAAAATGTATATCATGTCGCATTTTTTTTCTATTTGGAAATAGAAATTAGTCCGAATTAAATCCATATGGAATGTAAAATGGTGCTAAGGCTTAAATACGGTGAACATACTTATGATTATGTATTCTACAGAGGCTTTTAAATCTCACTAATAGTACAAATCCACAAGATAGGTTTGTGATTTCCATTAAGCAGTTGCTATATTATGTATTCTGTTAAGCAAGTCCTACTTTTAAGGTTGGTACCGTTGTTTTGTCATTTCAACTTGGAGGCAGCATGCCATTTTCCATACAATTGTGTACTTTCTTATCCAATCATAAATAAAACATGGGGAGTGTTCTTTAATTAATATAAATGTGGCTTGTTTAGCCAAGCAAGATTTTAAGGTAAGATGGTGAACAAGTTTTGTTTGATCAGTTTTATGGAAGTGGATTTGGAAAATGGAATTTTAACAAGTTTTATTAGTACATGGAAGCTTCTCTGCTTCAGTTATTTCTTCCCTAATGCATAATTTTGGTTCCTGAACAAACATTGAATATAGGATTTCAAAAAGGAAAATAAGATTATGGATCTGACAGAAGGTTTCTAGGTTTAAAAGATGGAATCCAGGAGTATTGTAACATAATTTTATTCAATTTTACCTTGATATATTATAATATCATGTTCAGAATAGACATGATAAAACAACCAATCTCAATTATATCCCCAGCGGGGGGGGGGGAACAGTTTTTTGGGGGATTTATTATAGGTCATCATTTATTCCTTCTTTTATTCCTAAATAAATCATTGACAGGACTAAATCAGGAAGGATCTGTTTGAAAAGATGGTGATTTGTATTCTGCTTGTGAGTTTTTGAATTGAAATGGGAATACCTCTGTCTTAATTCTCATGACTTTTGTACCTGTAATGAATAGACAATAATAAAAAATATTAGTTGCTAATAGAGCTTCCAAAGGATCAGATTTATCCCTATGATGGAGACAAGACAGAATTAGATGGACCTTTGCTTTAGTCAGAAAAGGTTACATCCTGCAATGGTATCTATAATACCATCAAACATGCACATCTGACTATCCTTAATAAGTGGACAAAAATGCCAAATTCTGGCTAACTGCGTGACAAACCATTATAAAATCCTCCAGGGTGATTCATTATCACCCTTATTATCTTGTCATTTCTATGATCGCACTTTCAGTTAATTTGGAAAAAAAATCTTGGTTACCAAGCAGCAAAAAATGCTAATAAAATATGCTTTCTATGGATGATATGAAGCTTTATGGAAAATCAGAAATTGAAATCCAGTCATTGACAAACATTGTAATATTTTTTTTTAAACGGATACAGAATTTGACATAGAAAAATGTGTTACGATAGCAATCAAATCAGTCAATAAATCACAAAAAGTAATAGGATTGAAATACCAAATGACCAAATCTCAAGAGCCATTGGGATGAAGCCTACAAGTATCTGAGTATTTTATAATTGGATAACAAAAAGTATGGACAAATTAAAAAAAAGTGATTAGTAAAGAACATATTCAAAGAGTGAGAAAATTGCTAAAAACAAAATTGAATGGTTGAAACACCATCAAAGCTATCAATATTTGGGCCATACCTATGATATGATACATTGTTAGAATTATTAACTGAACATAAGCTGAATTAGAAAATTTGAACTGAAAAACAAAAATAACTCATAACTATTGATCTTATATTTCATTCCTGTAGTGATACGGATAAATTATACCTGCTCTTCAGAAATAGAAGCAGAGATTTGCTTTAAGTCTAACTGTCAATCAAGAAGAGTGTGTTTTGACTGATTATGTAAAAAAATCCAAGCATTGATGCAAGTTCAAATTGGAACTTACTAAATATACATTAAATGAAGTGAATATCAAAATAATGTAAAAGAAATGGCAAGGAAAAGTACTGCATATTCAATTTCTACAAAAGATCAAGTGGATAAAGACTGAACCTGGATTGCACCTAGAACATTAAAAAAAGAAACTTTGATTCTGACAGCCCAAGAGCAAGATATTGGAATTAATGCAATCAAGAGCAGAATTGAAAATTCATCAAATCAATAATTTTTACTTCTTTACTTTAAATTTAAAAATAAATTTGGAGTCTGTGCAAAGAGACAGAAGATTCAGTAATTTCTTATATTCAGCTCATGCAAGAAGATTGTACAAACTAATTGTACAAACAATGACATAAACACGGTGACCAAAATGATTCACTGAATCACCTGTAAAAATTATCATGTACCAGTAATGAAAAATCGTGGTACTATTTAGTTGAAAAAATAATTTAAAAATGACCAGGTTAAAATATTGTAGGTTTTCTGAATATAGACTGATAACACGACCAAATATAACTCTGATTGAAAAGAAGAGAGTGTGAGTAATTGATGTGGCACTACCAAGGGTAGAAGACAAAGAATCGGAAGAGATCACAAATTATCAGCATCTGAAAATCAAAACTGAAACCTTATGGCATAAACTGGAAATCCTAGTGATGGATCTAGTGGTACATTGGGCGCCATATCAAAAATGTTTTAGATGACACTTAGGAAATCTGTGCATTGACAAAAAAGGGACAACTCTGGAGTAAGGAGTTGATTGGAGGTGATTGGCCCCTCCCATAGGACATAAAGGAGGAACAAATGAACATGAGCCTTTGCAGGAAGCAACTTGGTTCATGCTGGTCAGTTTACCTTCTGAAATTCCGTTCGGACTCTTTGCTTCATGCAGCCTTGCCAAGCTAGTGGATAATTAAGTATTTGACAGCGTTTTCAAAGAAGATAAAGGAAGCCTAGATAAGAACAACCATAAAGCTTTTGTTTCCTGAACACTTTTGGGTGTATTTATGGATACTTGGCTGCTAATCATGAAAGTAACCTGTAATTTAATCTATCATGTACTGTTTTATAGAAGTCATCTGTTTTGACAAAGTACAACATTCACTGGTGATGTTGCACACATGAAAGAAACATATGAAAACATGGCACTGTTGCTGAAGCACACCTGGTACATTAAGTACAACTAGAATATCTGTGGAGATTTAAAAGTGTTGCTGCTGGAATGCAGGTTGGGTATGCCATGTATTGTTATTACATATACGAATGGAATAACCATGCAAGACAAACTCATTACATTAAAAAGAAATGACCACTCTGAAAGAATTTATTTCCAGGACAGAAATGTGGCACATCAACTACTTGCTGGTCTGACAAAGGTATTTTTTACTGTGGCTTCACCTAAAACTTGGACTGATGAAAAATTTCGTAAAAATGATAAACAAGGAAGGTAAAAGTTTTCTCCCAACAGAAGGGGAGGTAAAGAAGATATTAGACTGTGCAGAAATGAATAGGCTGACATTGAGAATAAAGGACAAGGAGGAATCTGTGTACTACAGGACATGGGGGCGATTTTATGAGTGAAAAAAGATATAAATAGAAAGAAAAAGGAACAAAACATGAAATAAGTATCTCAGACGACACATGATTAAATTAGGGGGAGGAGAAATAAGAAAATATCAAAATGTAAATATACAGGCGGAAAAATGATATGAATTGACACATGTTAAATAACAATTATAAGAATTGTATATCTAAGAATGAATATGAAAGGAAAAATAAAAAACCTTTTACAAAAAAAATGAAGGTAAAAGTTTCCAAGACTATCTGATACCAAAATTAAGGAAGACACTTTTGTTGATCCACAGATTAGATACATCACCAATGACAAGCAGTTTGAAGATCTGTTAATAAGGCCAGAGGAAATTGCCTGGAAAGCATTCAAGGATATCATTGAGAATTTTTTTGGAAACTACAGAACATCAAATTCAGCTAACAAATTTCTTACCGCATATAAGACCATGAAATGCAACGCAAAGAACAAAGAAAGCTGTCTTTTCATTAGATTGCATACATAAACATGCATATAGATTCTAAGCATGCATTTTTTTTCAGGCAGGATGTTATAATTGGCTTCAACATAGCATTCAATACAAAATAATGTTGCATAGATTCTACAAAATCCAATATTTATATTTTATCCCATAATTTCTGAGGATTTAATGCATTATATGCAGACATCCCAAACCCGTTGAAGACATATGTGTTAAGCACATTAGTTCCTGCATGAAGACATTTTGGTAACAATTGTTTTTTGATACTGCCTTTAAATTTTATATGAATTTTGATTAAACACGCAGCAATATAAACGGCATTCCAAAACGAATGTATTTCATACCATCACTGGTCTGAAAACAAATTGTACCATCACATCTTTTACAATGTAACATTTGCCTTCATTTTTTAGGAACCGTCGAAGAAGATGAAGGAGATGACCTGTTGTTGGGGTCTGTGGATGAATTCTGGTGGTTTCCTCACATGTGGAGCCACATGCAACCTCATCTGTTCCATAATGAGTCATCGCTAGTGGAGCAGATGATTCTGAACAAGGAATTTGCACTAGTGAGTATCTCTAAATATATGTAGATGCAAGATTGGCTGCCCCTCAACATTGTACAGTAATTCTTTTTGTAGTAAAATGAGTGTGTGTGTGTGTGTGTGTGTGTGTGTGTGTGTATGTATGTATGTATGTATGTATGTATGTATGTATGTATGTATGTAT